TGCTCGTCTGGTGTCTGCATTGCTTGGTCCTGCCCGTCTTGTATTACATCCAGTACCCTGACTTTGTTTCCTGCTGGCATGCTCAAAGACCTTTACAGCTTAGTGCTAGCACTTTTCCAGAACCAGAACAAATCACACGACTGTATTTATTTGCTGTGAGAACAGGACCAAATCTGATAATAGATTCACTCCACAAGAAGAGATCAAGCTATCTGACATCAATAAAATATGAATTTATCTTCCTTCATTAGAACAAAACCCTTAAGCCCTTTAATAACTGTTGATGTTGCTAGAGCTAGATGTGATTGTTACAATAACCCTCTGTTTTAGCCATGGGAATTAAATGATGAATGCTGTTGCCAAACCCTTCTCTGACAATGAATTGCCCTCTTGTTCCTATTTTGTGTGAATGTTGTAATGGGGTAAGCTTTTCATTTTGCAGTTCGACTAACCCCTTCCCCAGTCAAAGTTTATTTGCTAATCAGGAGTGAACTGTTACTTCAGAGGACCAAACCTCTCTCGGGGAACTTTTCAAAGAATACTTGAGAAATGATGCAGAGCCTCAAACAGAGTTCCCCAAAAAGCGAAAGTACCAGAAACAAATTCTTGCTGTGTACTCTCTGCAGAGAGACATTCTTAACAGCCTCAATAGTCATGCTCTTGACGTGATGAGAGAATACCACAGTTGACCAAACAGAACTGCCTGTGAGGTAAATAACACACAAGCTGATTTCATCCTTTTACCCTGAAGCTAGGTTTTAAGTTTCATCTCACACGTACATCTCTATTTTTAAAAATAAACTCTTTTGGGATGACCAATGACAACCAATGGATGTCACGAGTCACGGTTTCCTCTGTCAGCTCACAGCTTGGTGTAAATTTACAGCTCCGAAGAATGACAGGGAGCAAGAAATTAGCCCTTTACGACACTGAAATACCACCAATGTATTTTATATATGTTATTTAGACAATGACTGTGATGAATTGAATGAAAGTTAAAACTATATAACTTCACCACTTTTCACTTTTTTTTGGGGGGGTGGGGGGTGGGGGGGCTGCATTCTGATGTTCTTGTGAAAAGGAAAAAGCAGAAGCAGGGAATACCCCCCTGCCCCCCGAAACATCGTGCTCCATAGCCTGTAATACAGGTAACTGAACTAAAAGATCTTTACTGGCTGCAAACATGAGTGATAACCTGAGTGTATCCAAAACAGATCTAAAAGGTTTAAAGTATGTAAGTTACTGCAGCAGACCATGTGAATGAATCCACAAGTCAAAATCTGCAGCTGATGGTGACTGCTTCTTCTGTAAGACCTGTAATGTTTTATCTGTGGATGGCAAGGTCATCTTCCACAAACCTCCACAGATGCAGCGATGGCTACCTGAACCCAGGGAGGCTTGTTCATGTCAGCAGTTGTGGCAGCATTTCCAAATACTGTTGCCACCTGGCCTAAATGAGTCTTTAAATACTAACTTGCAGACTGACAAAATATTTTTTAAATATCTTTACAGATATCACCTTTTTGAATTTTACTTATACTGTATATATACTTTCTTTGAGTGAAATTACAACTGATTAATTGCAATTTTTCTGGCTAAATGGAGCAGACCGAGGTATGGATTTTCCTTCTGCAGAATTCGGTAGAAATTCTGTGTCAATAACCTGTCAGTAAACTAGAATGCTGACTGGTGGTTTCTGTAGGCAAGTGCTTAGAGTTTCCACTTGCCAACAGGGCACAGAGCCCCCCTCTTACTGCTCTAAGAGCTACTGTATAACGGTTTCGTCTCCCACTTAATTGGACAATTCCTGTCGACGTGACCACGCCCATCTGTCTGCTGGCTCACAGTCGCACCCGGCTCCTGGGCAGTTAAGCTCCTGCTGCCTCATTGTTCTGCGATGGCTCTTCTGTGACCATCTCAACACCAGTTTTTGCTCTGCTTATGAACTATTAAATCTGACTGTGACTCACATGACCCAAGAAAGTATTCAGAAATACTTAATACAAAAGTATTGCAGACAGGAACACAAACCGTCACAACAAACAAACACAGCCCCAGATGTAGGTCCTAGACACAGTAACAGCAAATTACATTGCACGGCAGGGTTTTGAATGTGTAATGAATGATTGCATTGTGGCTATCAACAGGCACACAAATCTCAAGAATGCATAAACTTCTGCAAAGCAATTTGGCCAAATTCCAGTGACAGTGGAGTATGTTTTAAAAAGATGTATGCAATCATAAAATAAGCCCTGAGAACATGGAAGACTAGTAAAGACAAAGCAGACCTTGGTTTAATGTGTTATCTGCAGGACAGCAGTGTCCCTGGCCACCATACAGGGGTATCGGGTTTGAAATTCTGGTCCAGAGGGAAGACTAACTGCAACCTGCTTTTCCTCAGGGGTGTCCCATCCCAGTTCTGACTCAGCCCAGCCTTGCAGACTCTGATAAGATCAGGTTAGATGGTGGAAATGGTACTGCTGGAGTGCTGAAATAAATATTAACTTAATTCAATAAATTCAAAATGGGTCAAGGATCTTCCTTATTGTAAACATTACTATCTATGTAACCTTTGTCTAGACGGCTTCAGCATGCAGACACTGTCTGCTTTCGTTGTGTAAAGAGTATTTTTTGACCCAGACTCATTATGCAATATTACAATGTATATTCAGAAACCACCACTTAACACTTGTCTGGAAAAGACGAACCCTTAGGCTTTCTGATCAATCAAGTGATTTGATCCTTTACTAAACATCAGATTTAAAGCATTAATAAAATGTTATATTTAATACTTTATATTAAAAATATTGTGAGTGATCTCTAGCAGAACTGCAGGTCACCTGTGGGGAATCTGAATTGCAGTACCCCTTTATGCAGACTGCAATATCACTAAAAAGGCAGGACAACAGGATATTTTCAAAGATAGCCTAAGAGGTAACCCAGAAGTAAGATGGTCTAAGCTATGAAAAAAGTCAAAACTGTATCTGCACCATTTTACTTATTAATAAGTAAGGTGCCTCAGCTTGGTGATTTGCAGTAGTCATTATGCACTAGCAGTATAAACACGCGTAGAATCACGTGTAGAGAAGTGAGTGGGCAGTTTGTTTCAGCTCAGAGTTGCATTTAGCCACGAGCTCTGGGTTATCACATGGCTGTAAGGTGATAATGGATACTAGATTCCCGAGTTGAAAAATGAATCTCCTTACATTTCTTTTCCCTTTACCTTGCTATTTTTTATGCACCTCAGCTCTGTTTTATGCATCTCTTTTAAACTACACTTCTTTTTTTCTCCCCAGTAGTAATCTAGCACAATATTGTGTATTAACTGTACATTTTCTGCAAACAAATCCTATAGGAGTGAAGAGAATATGCTTATCCAAGCATCTGTGTAAATTATAGCAGTAAAAGAGTGCTCCACTAATGTTAAAAACCTTGAGCTTCCTAATTAATACAGACCAATAGCAAAATGCATTCATTTACCATTAAGCTGCTTAGCATTAACGTCAGATATGACGTCAACTGTTCCTGACAAAGAACTCTCTTTTCAGGTACAATTGGCTGAAGGAATGCTTTACTTGAAAAGCACTCAATTGTTGAATGCATGGGTCTGGGAATGTTTTTATGAACCAGCTTTTATGTACAGGAGGTCAAAGTTAATAATACATCTTATCAAACAATGTCCCTGCAATTCTGTTGCAGTACTAGCAACATATCTAGTTCAGCATAATCAACAGTATGCCCCCTGGCAGGAATTCCTGTTAGAAAAATAATTAGAGTTTACAACACCTTCAGCCTGAATTTGTATTGCAGAATGCCTGTTGTCTCTGCTCTAAATACTGTATTCATATGATCTAGTTTCTGTGCTATACGCAAGGGTTGCACATATACTGTACCTTTAGAATGTCTTTGTTTTTAAATTCAAATTCAATCTTTATTGTAGCCCTAGATTTTTGACTGACCATAAAAAATACAGCAGCATTCCAACCTAATTCCTAATTATTAAAGAATAATATTTTTAATTATCTTAATGTAAAATGAGATCACGGTCTGCGCTGTAACACTATAAAGACTACAACACTTCTTTTGGTAGAGCAGAATACCTTTGCCCAAGTCAGGAGACAGAGCAGTTTCAGACAAATTGCAGAGTTACAAAAGAAACCTGGAAAATGCAGCATAAGGGATTCCTGACATCATACAACAGGCATGACATGTTTCTTGCAAGACTAAGATCAAAACACTGGGCTGAAAATAGGAAAATAAAACAAAAAATACTTTTCAAATTTGCTGACCTTCTATTGCACATAAATTTAGGTTATTTTATTTCTGTTTAGGTCAGAGTGCTTGCTCAGTGTTTTAGCTGGAGTTCTCAGGTGACATCCCGCCAAGTTTCTGTACTCTCTGGAAGACTGACTGACAGTCACTAGGTATGTTCATAAAACTATGAAAAGAAAGGAAAATAGCTTTGAGTAAGTAAAACTTGCATTCTGACCCTCACTACACATTTTTTTGAAGAGTCACCTGATCAGTTACATTTTGATGCCTATGAAAAGAAAGGACACTGACAAAGAATCATCGCTGTGAAGCTCTGAAGATTGTTCATGTGAGTTAAATTAGCACACACATTAGGTACATCTGTTTTCTCTTTGTCTTCAAGTACAACGCACAGTTCTGCCTGAATGCAATTGCAAAGTGCTAGTGGCTGTATCAATAGTCCAGGTTAAGAAGTAGCCAAGAGATGTGCACTGTGCGAGTGTAAAAAAAAAAGTTCTTCCTCGTGTTGCAGGAATTTCCATAAAAGTATTAAATTAGGGTTACATTTACTTACTGTATTGGTCCCCTGACCGGCTATATTTTGATTGTTATGAAAAAAAAGGGCACTGACAAAGAATCGTCATCGGGAAGCTATGGTCCTATTACACCGTTTCAAACCTCAGTGTGATTAGCACAACAGCACCCCCCCTGCAGAAAAGGACACGAGATTCTCCACACGGCTGCGTTACCTCTCCTGTCTCTGTGGATCTCCTCCAGCAGCTGCTCCTGCTTTGCGATCTGCGCGACCAGGAGCTGCTGCTCCGACGCCCTGTCCCGCCGCAGGCCCTTGAGCTGCTCCCGGCCCTGCTGCAGGTGGCGCCGCAGCTTCCCCGCCTGGCCCTCGCGCTCCTTCAGCTCCTCGCACAGCCAGCGCAGCTTCGTCTGGGCCCAGCGAGACAGACACGGCTCACGAACACGCGGCCCAGACCAGGTGCTCCAGGAGAGCACCACCCGACGCGAACTCGTCATTCACTCTCCGAATCTTAGCACACCTTGTAACACCGACATTATTAAACAGATCATTAAAGCTTCCCTCATGCAGTTATCTTCTGTTCTGATTTTATTAAAGGATTTTTGCACACCTACACTTTTCAGTTTTAAGTTTATATTCACTTTCAAATAGACTGAGCAATCAAAAGAAACATTTTATTCTACTACACATACATACACGTTTCGGGCATTGATTCAGTGGTTTTGACATCTGGATGGGTTCATGACTCTCTAATACACGATACCTTATGTGTGAGAGAGCTGATTGGCACACACATCAAGGGGATTTAACTTGTTGAATATATTGTAAAACCTGGTAAAAAACCAACAAAGAAAAATACAAAAAAGAACCAATATGCCCTGCTAATCAAGAAAAACGCATTTTACCTTCTTTGTCTTCTGTGACCAACAACTAACCAAACTCAATACAGAATGCAGTGGTGAAGACTTTGGGGCATGAAACCCTCTAACTGGAATACCTCTACCTTCTACTGACTACTCATGTATTTTGGGGGTCTAGGCTGTTAAGGCACAGCATTTGTTACATGAGCTGGCTGGGGAGTGCTTTAAAATGTCAGTTCCCAAGGTTGTGGAGCCATGAGGTCTCTAGGCAGATGAGCACACTCTCTGAGTGTCATACGGAGTGTCACAGTACTATAGGTGGAGGACAATAAACAAAGGGTTAATTCCACCCTTTTAAGAAAGAAAAAAGGTCACACCTGAAGAGGGCTTAACAGCCAAAATGTTTTTTTTTCCTTTGAACTTCACAATATACTACACAAAGTCTGGAAGTTAAACAGTGTGAGTCTTTCCAAGCATGCTAAATCAGGTAAGAGTCATAGACTTTACATTGCAATACCTTTAAAGATGCATTCTGCTCTGAAACAATGAGTTGTTAATTGTTTTTTAAATGTTATGTGCTCCCAATCTGGAGTCGCCAAATATTGATCAATTTGGCTCACCATTTTGGCCCTTATACCAGCACAAAAGGAGGATCACACAAGCTATGATCGGTCAGTGTCCCAAGGGCAACCCCATGGACAAGAGCAGAGACAGTTCTCTCACCAACACTCTGCACTGTTGTGGACAAGCCAGGAATACCCCAGCATTCCTGTCCCCGCTGGTAAATAAGTTGGCAGGACTACAGGGCTCAACCTGCACTCCAAGACGGTGCCTTCATTTGCTGAGGCACCTGGGACCAGCGAGAGTTGTGATGTGTTAAAACTGACACATGCACACACAGTTCTGGCATGTTACATTCCACAAAGGAATTACAGAAGTATGGCCTCTCTTAGCTGTTCGTTACTTATGAAAAATGTCAGCAACAGGAAACAGTATCAAACAGTATCAAAAAGTAGACCTACAGCAAATACATTAATTTCTTTTTATATATGATTGTGAACATCTCAAAATGTTGAGCTCATTTACAATACAGTTAAAAAGGCCATAAATCTAAAGCCATATTGGCAATTTAAGAACAAGGAAAACTTGTTTGTTCAAACACAGTTTAGTACAGTACCTTCATTTCAGCTAACCAGCGATGAGGGTCCTTCTGCAGGCCAGGTGTAAGGGATATTGCCTAGGGACAAAACAGATTTGCTTTTTTAGAACAAGCTGATCTATTAAAAAGCTTTTCACTGCCCCAGTATCGGTTTCACTGGTACAACAAATAATCTCTTAGATAAGGACAAAAACAACAGCAAAGGCACCAAGCAAGGTTCATAATACAGGTTTTGATGTTATATTAATGCAATTCTGTAAAATGAACAATAATGTGTAAACAAAAGGGTTGCTTTCAATTTTCTTTATCACTCATTTTAATATGACTCAGTAGTGGCACAATTACCTTAATGGTTCTCTTAAAACTTATAGCACTACCAGCAGCATATGCGTAATGCAAATTTGAAATTAAAACGCAATGGTCTGAAACAGGGTCCTGTGAGACAATGTTAAATTGCACCACAGATCTAAGAGGAAAAAACTCTTGATAAAAGCTATTAAAAGAATATTTGAACTTGAATACAACTTAAGATTTTGTGGATACCTAAAAACGTAAAAAAAAAGCATTACATGAATTGTAACATTAACGTACTTTGTTTCTTTACTTTCCCTTATTTTTCAATGTATTTTTAATTTCACCTTTGTGTATACTTGAAATCTACCATCTAAAAATATTAACTACACTAAAAAAAAAGAAAACATACTAAATTGCAACTTGCAGTTTTGCAAGGCAGATACAGGTGATTTGCCATGTACATACATAAGCTCTTTCAGAGCTGACAGCTCAAATGTATTACTGTTGGTACATAATCTTTTATGTACCTAACCAACATCAGTTAAAAAAAATCCCAGCACCAGCAGCAATTTTATAAAATGAAAAAAGTTAACACTGAGGATTAATTTTGCTCTGTTTTTTTTAAAGAATAAAGGCCTGCGATACCCACAGCAGGGATTTATTGTAACCACAGTAAAGAACATAAATGCTGCTGTCCTTAAATTACAGGCTGAGCCCACTGATGATGTATCTCTCTTTCTACTGGGAATTTCCCTTCATCTCATTATGATCATTAAATATTGTAAAAAATGCTGTATGGTGTTTCTCAGTGTTAAATGTAATATATACATCTTAGATATGGAGCGTACACTTGAGTAATCCTAAATCCATGCTCCATTTTCCAACAGCTTAATCGATGCCAGTTGTGGGGGAGCCTGTTTCGAGCTATATCCCAGCAAGCAAATGGGGGGAGGTGGGATACATCCAGGATGGGAACACGAGTCCATCGCTGAGTTTCAGAAACATCCGAGGTAAAATTGGTAATCCATGATTTCAGTTAATTAAACTGTTGATTTATTTTTTTAAATGGGCTTAGCCTGGAGACTGGTTTTCTAAAATACTAAAGGAAGAATTTGGATACGTCCCATATATTCTAATAAGAGAGGATTGACCGGAAGCCAGTGGCTAAACCCAGCTGCATTAAGTAACACTTGAGGAACCCACTAGACCACAGCATTGCCATTTGCAGATCTTTTGCACTACAACATGGCGTTTTGACAGTCAGAAACCATACCTCAGCTATTAGAATTGGTCACAAATCATTCAGTCCAACAGATTAAAAAAGATTAAAAAAGTTTTGAAATGCAATAAATTATTAGCAAATAGTTGATCTAAGTCTCCATATTAAGACAACCTCATCACTCAACCATTAAATGTCTTGCGATATGTTGCTTTTATAGATTGCATTTTGCAGCATCATACATATTCCTAAGCTTTTATGGAAAAATGGCATTAAAATGTAATGTCATTATTCAACTATAAGCACATGTCAATTCTGTTAAAAACAGATCTTAACTGCTGAAAGTCACCTTTGTGGAAGCATCTTGGAGAGGGGGACTCTCATAGATTAGCCCCACAGGCTGACATGATTACTAGAAAAAGAATGTGGTAAAAGAGGGGCTACTAAGGCAGCTAAATGTCATTTTCACTTCACGTAGCTTCATACTGACGTAATTTTGCAGGCAGCTGATAAAGCAGTGGCAAACAGTATTAAAAGGCTAAAGAATAAATTGAACACAACAAGTGGCTTGTCTAAGTTCTTGTTCCTCTAAACACAAGAAATACCCAATGCGCTATACTGCAGCGTAATATACTGTTATGTGAATAACCTTGTCAGAATGTTTACATGTAAATACATCCTTCTGAACAAATTCATGGCATTGTAAGAGAAAAATATTACTTTGAATTTTTCATCGGAGTCCCTGGAGAAACCTTTGCATGCAGAGTCAATCTCTATTCCTATGGTCTGAAGTATGGATTCCTGTTCTGTTTCCAGACAGTTAATCTGCTCTCGGAGCTCCAGAATTGTTTCATCCATTCTTCTTACTCGGTCATCTCCACTGGTGACCAATTTGCTCTGAAACAAAAGTGAGATACGTGTCGCAATCCAACAATTATCTCAAACATGAAGAGCACCTGAGATCAAACTTGTCCAAGTGGGTCTTTTGATTTTCTTAAACACAACAGCCTATTTCACATCAATGACTCTTTCACAATGCATATTTTAAAGGATGGAAATGACTTTCTTTACACTTTTAAAGCTGTGTTCTTTATACCCTAAAGGGCTTATCTGAAATTAATAGTGCCTTGAGTTATCTTGCAAAATAGTCAGGTGGATATTAACAAAGGACATGGGACAGTTAGTTTCCTTATGCCTCATGAGCACAGCCTGTATAAACACATTTTAAAATATTAGCCAAATGAATAGATTATGGCTACTCAACCATCTGCCGTTCCAAACCACTGTAATTTTGCAGTAAACGTTGTTCATAACAAGCAGAATCAATATAGAAATTAATTTAAATTGGTTGCACTATTACTAAAGTAATGAAATGGAGTGGATTGAAGTAATGAAGGAATAGCCTCTCTTTATGGCAGGCAAAGTATGGAGAGTTTGCAGAGAAAAACGCAGACTCCATTTCCTTCCTTGGTCAGAGCAATGCCCAGATCTCATTCCTTCTGAAACTATAACTGCTGGATCTGATACATGTGCAGTTCAATCCCACACTTCATTACCCTCAGCACAACCTCGGTAAAAGTAATACCGCTGGAAAAATAAAATAAGGCAGCAAATATATCAAAACCTTGTGAAATATAAGCCACACCCTGTTCAAGCTATTTTCACAGGGACAACATGCTCCTGGTTCTATTGGGAGTTCATAATATTTAGGCCAGTGCATGTAGCCTTTAGTGAGGAAAGCACAAAAGGTGCATATTGTACAGGCATTTTGCATGGAGGAAAAGGTCAGACAATATTAGGATTGATTGTTTCGTTACTTGCCAACCTGGATCAGACATTATAAAAGTTAAAATTTAATTTTGTACAGACATTCCAGGTCCGTTGTCTGCTAAACGTTTATTAAAAGAAAATCCAGGACAAGCTTGTGCGGTTTTTAAGGATTTTAAATAAGTACTAGTATAGAGCTCCCTTCAAACAAATAAGTTTGCCTTGGCTATAATTTATTATAAACAGTTAAACTGAACACGCATTCAGTGGTACTGTATATACACTGTACTCTAAAAGATTATACTGTACTTTTTAAAGATTGACAGCCATAGACCACAGAGCTTTGGATATGAGATTTAGCATTGCAAATTAATAGCAACAAAAGTCAAGGGTCACCACACCACACTTAATGTCCACTCAGATTCCAGATTTGTATAAGTCTTCACAGATATTACACATTCCTCAACCTCAGTATTGCATATAGGCAAAAGAAATAAAAAATTTTGATATATCATGGAAAACTGACATTTATGAAAAAGGATTTAGTATTTATGTTGACACATCATTTGCATCTTCTAGAGTCTAGACAATGGTGTGAAGCAAAAAAAAAAACAAACATGTCAAGATCTAGACAAAGATGTAGTACGTAAATGAAAAGCTCATTTTAAAATTATACACTGGAATAAAATCTATAATGTTCCACAGCTTAGAATAGGGTACAGTTTTGCGCACCATGATACAAAAAAGGTATTGCTGCCATAGAATCGGTCCAGAATGACACACCAGAAGCATTCCCAACACCCTACTGTGATCAGTTCAAAGGACTATATTTTCGTGCTACTGAACACAGAAGACTATAAAGTGACCTCATCCGGCCATTCAACTATTTTCAGAACCAACAGTGAAACATGAACCGAAGGACACAAGTGGAAACTATGGGGAATCTGGAACAAGCTAACCTCTGTTGAAGAGCATATCCAGCTGCTTCTCGACAAAAGGCAGGGTGAGATCCTCAGATTAATCAGTTCTCTAGAAATCAAACCACCTACAAGATGGTCTGAATAACCATCAGTTGTCTATAATCTTTCTTATTTTACTAGCAGTTAACAGACAAATGATTTGAAACTGATTTGTTTTCAGTCCCTGCTTCCTGCTGTGCTTGGTAGCAGATGAAAAAAGGTATAATCTGGACATTCCAAACTACAGAGGATGGAAAAAATATCTATCACTAAAAACATCCGGATTTATGCAACATCAACTGTGCAGTCCTTTCTCAGGAAGCCCTCATTACAATAATGCACTGTGCTGCCTGGGAGAGAGGGATTACCGCAGCCCCGCACTAGAGATGGCACTTCAAAGTACCCACAAGAAACATAAAAGGCCAGGTGCTGATTTTCCGAAGTATTAATTAGCATACATTTTATTTTTGTTTATACTCAAACACTACTAAGCAGACTGTATGAAATTAAAACACCATCTGACGTCTTTAACCCAAAGCCACCTGTTGTTTTTTATGAATATCCATGTTGCTAAAGACTAGCTGATCATGCTACAAATCCAGGGATTTTGTAGATGCCGCTTTCTTTCCAACTTCTTCACTCAGCAGATATGATTCTTATAAGGACACTGAGCCTTTGCTGTACCTTTACAAGGTGAAGTATTGGTTAAGTTTTAATGTTTTAAAAAGAGTTGTACTTCAGTACATGGAATGGATATATTTATTTTTATTTCAATCCTTCAATTAACTAGAAACTCAAATTTAGAATACCTATTTACAGAGAAGCTATTTTGGCTTTAGTACCTCACTCAATGGTACAACTGTGTCACACCCAGGATCCCAAATTGCTTAGGAAGGGGTACAATACTGAAATAAACAGGTCAGAAGAAAAGTCTCTTAAGCATCTAAACCAGGTGTCCAGCTCCAGTCCTCAAGCACCGCTGTCTGACAAATAACGAGTACAATTAAGTAATTAATGGCTCAGATTGAAGGAAAACCAGAAAACGTCTCGCCCTTCAGGACTGGAGTTGTGCACCTTGGATCACAAGGATTCTTCTCTTACAATTCAAATGTTTGTGCAAGTTACTAGCAGGGGAAAACAGGAATTATTTAATACATCTTCAGAGCAACTGTAGCAACAAGCTCTTCAAAGGCAGTTTAGACACCAGAACCCAGTCACCTTCTATATTGCCAAACTCTCGAGACAAAGGCAGCTGTGGACACTTTTTAAAAAAAGCAATGGTCTCCAATGCAACAGTAACTACTGTATGAAACAATGCATAGAATTAAAGACAAACAGAGCTGAGGTTCAAAAAAGAATGTCACCATTCTGAACTGTTAAGGTTACACAATACCAATGGTGAGAAAATAAAGCCTAGTTTTGTAAACAGCATTTCAATTGCTGAGGGGATAGAAAGAGTAAAATCTGCAATCACCCAGGGAAATCATTTTTTTCTTTGAAAACACAACCCTATATCTAAGGGGGCTACCTGTCACCTAGAATAAGGTGCCTTCCTTCAACCTGTAATTGTAAAGAGCTAATCGCATCATGCCAATCAAAAACCCTATTTTAAAACAAATGGGCAAGTAATTTCATGGATTTATATTCAAATATATGACCTTTTCAACTTAACTCCATTATAAATCCAGCAATGTACCATATTTGCTTAAATTTCAGAGTTTCAAAAATCACCATGGTAATTGTATCTTGATTTTTTGGCTTGCTTTGTAACCATTGCTCAGATGAAAAATATGAGCATCTGACATTTCTAAGAAGATATAAAATGTATGTTACGTGATCATTTTAAACAAACCTTAAAACAGTAATTTAACAGAAACCATATTGGTTGGTGTTCTTTCCCAACCTATAAACACCAGAAAAATCCTGGAATTCTGTGCTAGAATTTCTACTTATGTGAATGATGTGTGAATATCTTAGTAAAACAGTTACCAGACAACATTAGATCACATGTGTAAAAATACCAAAAAAGGGCATTTTAGTGACAGAACAAGGTGGAACCGATCTGCTTTATAAAAAGTATACAGGAAACTTTATTTTATAAAGCCGCAAGTTAATAAAAGTTATTTCTCAAGCGCATCTGTAAATCATTAATCTTAACCCAATACTTTTTTTTTTTTCCTGTTAAAAAGGTTTGTCCACTGATAGCTTAGCAAAGTATGGGGCAGGTTAGCTCACAGCAGTTGATGCTTTTCAAGCTCACTGACTCAAAGCCCGATCACACCATGACATGAGGTTTGCTATGGTCTCCAGCACCACTGAGGCCAATCAGGTGCTGGCAGACTTAGGCCTTGATCTCCAAGGCGACAGGAGCACATCAGCATCTAACAATTAAAACCATTTCAAAACTTTTAAATTTACACAGGAAGTTAGTACACATTTTACCCTTTAAAAGGAACGGGAAGGGCTCGGTATCCTAAGGCCCTGCACAATGGCTGTTGCTCCAGTTAATGATGGATGGTGAATAAAGAAACGTTAATTGTGAAAAGTTACACAGGGACCTGGAATTCTGCTGTGATCGCACATACTTCCACAAGCCATCAAGTTCATTATATAGCATTATGTTTCACATAACATTAACACAGAACGTGTGGTACAAGGGCTCTTACAAATGGGTTCACTGACATTTCAGGCTAGACCAGAGATAACTACAGATTCAAAGGAAGCAACTGAAACAAGACGTTTATTCAACTTCACCTGACTTGCAAGAAAGCATCTTGAACACATTTTTATATTGGGTATGAATTGCCTAAATGTAGCCTCCTTACTAGTAACTGCGAGCCCATCACAAGTTCTTTTTTTAATAACATACAAGAAGTCGCCGCTGATTTACGGTGAAGCCATCGTCTCCAGCAAATATTACAACGGTTAAGGATAACTGACACAATAATTTAAAGCACCTTACTTAAAGTAAAAACTGACAGTGAAATAAGGGTAAGCACTTCATGGTGTGTCTTGGAAGCATCATTGTCATATTGCACGCTACATGAGGGCAGCAGTGTGGAGCACTGGTCAGGGCTCTGGACCTGGATGGGGAAGGATGTGGGTTCAAATCCCAGAAGAGACACTGCTGCTGCCCTGAGCATGATACTTCACCCACATTGTTGCATTGTTGTTACATAAGTAAGGGGTTTTGGATAAATGAGACAAGACAAAAAAATGAGTAACTATATAAAAAAAAACACAGGGACACCACATTTGTACATGATAGGTAATTTGCTGGGCAAGTCTGCTCATTCTCTTTGGGTCTGGCTACAGAATGGAGGACCTTTCCACCTAGCTTGTTCCACAGGTGTTTAAATACATGCTATGCCCATGGTGCATAAGAAATTTACTTTGGATTGGACTGGCAGCTCTGGACAGAGGTGATGAGGTACAGATTTTATCAGGCTGTCTCTGCACACTGCTTCATGTGAGGCTGTTGCACCCAGCCAATTTAAATAAAAAAAAACATCCCATATGACATCTACACACACTTGGATTCACTTTCTATTAGGACATTATTCCCATGTTCCTGGAAATAAAGTCTGCGCCTGTAACACTGTTGGATCTGCTTTTCACACTAGTAAACCCTACCCCTCGCATCGCGCTACAGGAAAACCAAAAGGTTTTGCCATTACTCCTACTCCAAGGGTTACAGAGGGCTTCTCATGTCTTTACACTGTATTTAAGGCTGAAGTGACCTTTCCTTCGCCCACATGTGAAAAAACAGATTTACCACTCATGACATTGCAGAGATCCTTCTGTATTTGCCCTGCCTGTACCTGCAAGTAAGCAAGAATGGACAGGAGAGCACAACTGCAGAACACCACGGTTTGTCCTTTAATGGATACCAGGCATGTGGGCTAATCGTGGAGGGGAGTAGAGAGCCAGAGAGAGAATGGAGCAGTACCTCGCAGTCCAGGGAGGTACAGAAAGAAACTTTTCACCATATATAAATGGGGAGAGAAATAACAATGAATGAAAAAGATTACAATAAATACAGTAAATACCAAAAGTAGCCTACATGTAAAAATATATCACACAGTAAATAAATCAGGGAGAAATGCCATTTAACAATCTGCAAATGCTTACATTTCATTACCCTCCTCTGTACTGTTCAATTATTAAACAATAAGAGACAAAGTAAATAAAAAAAATAATAAAATCCCTTGGGTGTTTCCCTGACATGACTGGAGGTACGGCTGAGTCACAGTTCTCAGCGAAAGAGGCTGCCCCACGTGTGCAAAGCGAGAGTGAGCAGCGAGCTGGAGGAGACTGCAGGACACCCCGCAAACTTTCACATGGGACCCACTGGAGGTCGAAGTCACATTTACAGACGTCCAGTCTGGCGCAATCCAGAGAGAGGGTGTAGTACATGGCCCTAAGGAAGTGTAATATACTGTGGTAGGGCCATACAAGGTTTCACAGAAGGGGCTGAATCAAGGTGTTGAAATAGTCACATTTATGGAGTGATCAAAATACTTGAATATCTAGCTCTTAAAAGTGCAGCCAATAGACATCAGAGGCAGAGTCCGGCGTGTGTCTTCCTCACCTGGAAGGGAAGTGCCCCAGACAATCCCAACACAAAGGTCAAGGGTCAGCTCACTGCCAGGTTGGCAGCTGCCAGAGCCAAGCGCTCTTTAATGGACTACATGTTGGGCTTGTTAATGACAAACAGAAGTTGATTTTAATTCTTTGCTGTTAACTTCACTTCCCTTTCATTAAGGGAAGAAAAGTTAAGAGACCGAGCAGTCGTGAAAGAGATACTCCTTTACTATCTTTCCAAATCTGTGCAATTCAAGACCTGTAGCACAAGACAGAGGTTCCATCTCCTATTAAATGCACAGTGGAAATTCTGAGGTGATGAACAAAATGGAGAGAGCAAATTAAAAGAGAAAGGTTTCTATACTCACCTCAGGCTCAGGTATTCTAGGAAATTCTGATATTCTCTTCTGCGTCACTACTGCTAACTGCACATCTTTCATGTACTGCATATTGCTTTTAAAAAAAACAGTAATTTACTCTCCATTTGAACAAATCAACAAAAATATCTCTATAGCAGTCTCTCTCAAGCCTCCATTGAAAAGAATCTGCAAGAATCAATAAGCATACACAACAGTGTGACCTACTGGCAGCAAACTAGTACTGATGAGGAGAGCGATGCCATACAGAAAGAGCCTGTAGCTTTTGTCTTACAGTCCAGAGTTATCTAAACCTGGTCTTGTCCCATTGCTACGAGTAATAAACTACTGTAATAGAAATTCAGCACTGTGTTATCCTGATTAATCTTCGGATTTTTTAAACACCATAAAGAAAGCCATGTTTTATTTAGCATTTATAATATTTAGCATTTATAGTATTTGGTCAATGCACGGACCTCCCTCACTCTTATTGCCAACTCAACTAAAACAGCAAACTGGTGGCATTTCTAGCATTTCCAGCATTCACATTATCTTCATTGAAGGACAAATGAGAATTAATAACACCACACATCAAGCGAGCTGAAAAAATCATTCAAAGAACTGTTTCAAAGGAAAGCTCAGAGGGCAGATATTATTAAAACTACACTCGTCAGGAAATACATTCTTTCCATTTTCACACACCAAAAACATATGGGTCATTTCTTTTTGACAGTCATTAAAAATTACAGTTAGTTAACAGTCACTAAAAAATTAATTTGGGAAAACACTAATTTAAGTTTCACTGAGTGTTCCTGAAGATTGACTGGGTATACGAGGTTATGGGTCTAAACCTGGTCTAAATGCAAACAAGTTCTGCATGTTTTTAGCAGTTTTATCAAGGAGGTTTTGAGCCCCACCCTACAAGATAAAAAACTCAAAACACTAGCAATACCTCATCTCTTTTCAGTATGGAATAAACCTTTACTTGTTCCAATACTGAAACAAACGAGCCCTCTTCCCCCCATTGCTACTATGCAATAATGTTACCATGAATTCAACATACTGTACGCATGTTATACAAACAATAAAATTCACCTTTTGTCAGGCTAACACACTGCATGAGTACAAGGCCACATATCACTGCATGTGTGAAGACAGATACTCAGCCTCACTCTTCTACAGTTAAGCCCTGCTTGCAGAAGAGGTGAAACTGAACTCACCTTTTCTTCCAGTTCCTGTTTCAGCAGCTGGTACTTCCTCCTGAGCGTGGCGTATACCTCCTCGCTCTGGGTTAACTCCTCTGTCAGTTTGTCACATTCGATCTTCATCTTCTCCAGCTGCTGGCGGTGTGCTTTAACCAAGCTTTTGTCCACTGCTTTATCTGCCTAAGGGAAAAGCACATCTTGTACAACTGACCTCCCTGCTTGAGTTTTTGATTTAAGTGTGTGAACATTTAGCACCTTTTAGAGTGTTGAAGTCCAAATTAAGAATGTTTACAGCAATAACCACCTGAAACAAGCGCTCTGCATTTTTTTCCAAAATGTTTTTCTTCTACATGCAAAGATCAGATTATCTGTAGCCTTCTTGCTAAAACTTGTTACTTGCAGTGGGCATCCTCCATTATAACCGCCTTCAAAAATTTACAGAAGTGGGAAAAAAAGACAGCAGAGAGAATGAACCCATCAGCTCTGCAGCACTCACTGGGCATCTGCTCAGAGGGGATCACTGTGCATACAGGTCAGCGCTCCAGCCCCGCTGGGACTACGGTCAGGAGTGCGACGAGTTTGATCTGAAATAACAGACTCCTGATCGCATGACTCACCTACCATTCTGCACACAGTGGACGCGAATTATCTAGGCCTTTGCCCCTGGTGCCATAAATGCATATAAAAATATATACACACAACAGTTAACATGACAAACTTGGTAAGAATCATCTGGAAGCTCCTCATGTGAGATCTGTATAAGAGATCTCCTTCCTAAACATAGTGTAATACCACAGGCTGTCTATCATCAGAAAGCAACTCATCCGATTGCATTACAATATTGCCTTTAACTTATTTACAATAACTTGAACTCGTATTTGAAAGAAAAAATACCACACTTAAGCCAAGCAGCACAGATGTTCTGCAGCTACAGAAATGATTTATAGTAACCCTATGTTACAAATGGGAACAGAATATCATTTACAAGCATTAATCGCTATACAAGTGCAAGGAATTTATTATCGTAAATCCTAACAAGATTCAGCCATTACCTGCAAATTTCGGATGCGACTTTCCAGCTCTTCCCTCTCTTTCCTGAAAAGTTGAATGGCCTCCTGGCTGCGCGTTTCATGTTTTGCTTTCAGGTCCTGCATCTCTGCCCGAAGCCCCGCCAGCTCGCACTGATGCACGTCCCTCTCCAGCTTCAGCTGCTGGCCCGCAGAGGCCAGCTCTTCCCGGGCACGGTCCTGCTGGGCCTGCAGCTCGCTCAGATTTCTCTTCAGCTCCTTCCGGGCCCTTTCCTCCTCAGCCAGCCTGTTGGTCAGGTCGGCCCGAATGGCACTCAGCTCTTTTACTGCCCCTTGCAAGTCCAGCATTTTCTCCTGGTCTCGCTCCCTCTTTCTGCGCAAAGCATCAAGCTCCCTCTCCAGGTTCTGGTTCTCCTCCTTGACTTGCATTTGCAGCAGGTTCTGCTTCTCCACCTCGCTCTCTAGCTGGCGGGCGACTTCCCGCGCCTCCCGAATCTCGCGCTCCAGGTCCATCTGCTGGGACTGGGTCTCGCTGAACTCCACGTCTTTCCGACGAAGCTCTTCCTCTTTCTGGGCCAGTCTGGACAGGACGTCTCCAAGCTCTTTCCGGAGGTTATCCAGTTGTTGGCTGGCTGTCTGGAATTGCCCCTGAATGCTTTCCTTGTCTTTGAGCATCTAGAGGAAGCAAACAGACTCATTATCACGATAGGTTTCAATCTTTCCTAATTTCAGAAAAGCTGCAACCCAGGGAGAAGCAGTTTATTGTTTATACTGGAACGCCAGATTCCAAAGGTGCAGCGACTAAATTACAAGTAGCAGAAAATATTAAAGTAAGACAAAACAAAAGCCAATAATTAAAATGAAAACATTTACATTTAATTCAAACCTCAACAAAAATATTTTACTGCCTCAGAATTCATGTTCCTTTTCCCAGCAAGGCCGATCAATGTTGTGAAAAGAAAAATGGCTAAAGCTAGCCGAAGTTTTAAAGATGGGAGGAATTAATCAGCAAGCGGAAATGGGTCACAGTAAGTTACCAGTTTGCATGATAGTCCTTTTATTCTTGTCATTTCTAATCTAGGACTCTACACCACACCTGCTGGTTCATTACACCACACAGAAAAAATAAATCCAAATTAAGATCTTACACCTAACCAACTGTCATATCTCCAGAAAATGACAGTTATTAAATGTAGGTGGTTTGAATAAAGAATGAAAATACCAAGTAGGTTTTTAGAAGGAGACTGAAGAATAGCAAAGGAAAACCTTTCAATGTTACTAGTATATTGACTGCAACCTTGTAACTTGAATTCATCAGGTCTTAGAAGCTACTGTATGTAAAGATGAGTCCAGCCTTTGAAAGAACCATTAAATAGAGGTCCTTATTGCTTTATCACTAAAGTTCCCACGCCATACTTCATAACAGTATCATGAACCTGTTTAATTCCAATTTTGAAGTTGTACAATCTGACCTATGTAAATTTCACTATAAAATTAAATTTGTGAAGCAATAGCTCCTCATCTGCTGTGTGGTGAATCTTTTGAGTTGAAAAATGCAATGACTAATGTTTGTCTGCTTCCCAATTAGCTAAGAAAGTGTATATGCATAAAACACACTTGCATATTGTATATAGTATGTCATACACTGTGCCTTCTAAAAAAAAAAACACTGAACTCTTAATTGCTTGTGACCTATCTAGGAAACCTGAGGAAGCTGAGCCTTTGTAACACAGTTTTCAAACAAAAAAAAAAGAAACCAATGCACAACAATTTTTAGAAACTGAATATACAGTAAAATACTGTGCTCTTATTAACATAGGACCAACTAATGGGCAATTCAATAAAGAAACCAGGAGACATTACCCTGACAGAATATTGCTTAAAAACTCTAAATTGGATTAGGAATACAAAACAAGAATCATTGTAAATAACTCAAACTCCCCATATGCAGTTGCAGAATTGTGATTATGAGCCCTTAGACATATTTGTCATGTATCTGTACACCCATTTTCAAAAAGATTCCTATTCTTTTTATGGGCTGGAACTTCCCAGATCCTATCCTGAAAGCCTACAGCACAAGGCAGCACTACACCTTGAATGGGATGCCAGCCCACTGTAAGGAAGAGGACTTACAGAGGAACTGAAAACACCACCACTCACCTACCCAGAGAGATATTTTGTGTACAGTGCAGACACTAGAAAGGAAAGCTATGATCACCTAGAAAGGACCAGAAAACTTTGTTCACTGCAAGAAAAAAACACTTCATTTGCCATCGTCTTCTATGTTATTAATTGGGACCTTCCAAAAAGTCCTTTTGTTTTGTACTTAATGAGACAAATGAGAAGCATTTCCTTTTCCGAGAAAAATTAAATGTCTTAAATGCTGGCCGAGCACATATGCACACACAAGAAACAGGAACACGTAACACAGGAACACGTTTACAGCTAACCCCAGGAATGATCACAGAATTGCTGAAAGTGACGGAACAAAAACTTCTGTTAAAATAAACAAAAATAAAGATCAATAACAAACCTGCCCGCTCTTCTCTGCCTCAAGCCCAGCAGCTCTTCTCTCATTCTCCAGGTGCTGTTCTAGTTTCTTACACTTCAGTTTCCACTGCCTGATGGACACCTGTGCTCTGGCTTTCAGGTCTTCCTTCTTTCTCTCCATTTCATCCTTCAGCATCTCCACCTGCTTCGCCTGCCTGAGGTACGCGTCTGCCTGCTTTCCAGACTCCTTCAGCTGGCCCACCAGCTCCTGAACCTGGAGAGCCATGCGGCTGCGGTCTGCCTCGCACTCCTCGTAGCGATTCTGGATCTCCTTCAGCTGCTCCAGCATCCTCAGCTGCTGCTTCTCCCTCTTGCCCAGGTCTGACGACAACGCCTGTAGGGGGGAAAGAAAGCACCGTCTCTTCTTGGCTCGTCTTTAGTAACGTCCATCCGTTACATTACTAGGAGGAAGTGCAATAGTTTTAAGATTAATATTGTTTATGCTGGGTTTATTGTGCAAGAGGTGCTCTCTTTTGCTAAGTATGTAGTCATTTAAGATCCCATGGCACTGTTCTTCGGAACACAGTTCCTGGTGTCCTGGCTACCTTACACTCTGGGCCTCCAAAAGTCCTGCCTTAAGGGAAACAGCACAACAGTGATTAAAGTCAATTCCTCAATTCTCTGCTGTGCAGTGGGGCTGCTGGAGCATGATGACAGCAGCACGTCACCCAGGTGGAACTACACTTTAATGGCGATAGAAATGAAAACAAATTTAATGTATCGCAACTTTTCACCTTTTAATGGCATCCTAATTAAAAGTATCTCTTCCATGCTCTTGCATCTATTTAACTAAAAGCATCTGTGCTTTGTAGCACAATCCAAATAATTGCAATCCGATATCAACTCAATTTTAGTCTAATTTCCATAATTTCTTTGCAGAAGCTATTGTATGAAAATGATTTTACTTTTATCTTCTGTTTTTGTCTAATCAACAATGATGAAAAACTCCAAAAATGTTTTTTATTTCAATGTTATTCAGTGGCATGCTGCAAAATAAAAACAGCAGGAATTCTTCCAGTCAGAAGGAAATGTTGCAGAACACATTAATTCCACTATGTTAATGCAAATTACTTTGAATGATTAATAATGGAATTAAAAGAACTGTTCTACATATCTGCTGTTCTCCTGTGGTTGTTCTGAACTGCGATTCTGAGGATCAGTAACAAACTAGGTTAAATGGAAATGCATTTAAACCTTGATACATGCACATTTCAAGGAAACTTCCCGGAGCCTCCCTCATTATAGGTTTGGTTACTTCAGCAAAATTCAAATAATAAAGCAAAATGAATGCTTCAAAATATTTATTATCACTTTTGAGCCCCATTATTGATTAACAAATATCCTGGTCTTCACATATACTGTTCTACATATCTGAACATTCTTTGTATAGTGTTTCCAGTTTGTGAAAACTGGAAGGTTTTACATTCTTATTTCAGACTGGGAATGCAATATTAGAATAAATCTGTAAATTTATGCCAACCTAAATTTTTAAATTCCACAGGTCTACAAATTGTTCATGACATCTTCACTTTTTTTCTGCATTTTTTATGTTCTAGATTTAACCCTGGCAGTCTGACGAACATCCAGAGAAAACAAGATTCAAAGGGAAAAATACTTTTATTCACTTTAGACCAGGATTTCACATCCTTCCCTTTAATAACCTGCCCCATCCTGAGATCAGCAGGATGAAGTAAAAAAAAAATTCTGGATGTCTAAGTAAAAATGAACATTTTTACTTAGACATCCATGCTACTCATGATGCCTGTATTTTTCTCTTGTATGAAATTTGAGGTCAGATGAAAGTTAATCTTTACAAGAACCTTTTAAAGCCTTTCACACCAATAAAAAAGGTTTTGTGCTTTCCCCTAACTGCCACACAGTCTAGCTAATTTTCCAAAACTATTTTGGGTGGAAAAACACATGTATTTTCTCTCTGCACTCTAGTTCCCCTACACTCTCTATTGTAGAGTTGCAGATTTACAGTTTTTCCCATACAGATTCACAAACGTGTTGTGCCCTGCAGCAAATGGTTTTGAAAAGCTTCCTGGGAAGTTTCTCTTTAAAACTTTATGGTTTATTTTCACATGTGCGATACCGCAAAACAATTAATTCCCCATCTACTCACAACAGGAGTCCAGCTTTGAGATTCAACTTATCCAACTGGTTTCAAAGTTGAAAGATCAAAAAAGTAAGAGCCCAGTTTGAAGGCAAAAGGGATTTGAGTAATCATTTGAATCAATGCAAGTCCAGAAGACACTTCTGAGTTGTTCTACAGTCTCTCCTTTCAGTGCCAAGTTTGATTTGACTGCAAAGGAAGGAATAAGGAACTTCCAACCTTTCATCTCAAACGTGTAAAAAAACAGCACAAAGAACTAATCCAACTGAAGATTAATCTTCTTGTTTGTTCAGCATTCACTCAACCAATTTGTTCACAAATTATCTTAATTTTTCACAAAGGCAAATAATATTCCTTACCTCTACGTGTACAGAAAGTTGCGATTTCTCCCTATCTTTGCGCTCAATTACTCTTTTCAGCTCATCTACCTCAGCCATGACCGCATTTTGGGTGAGCTGCAGCCTGAGGTCCTGGATCTGTTTCTCCAGCTCCTGCTTCTCTCGCTCTGAGCGTTCAGTCACTGCAAAACAAAGCTATAACTTTAGGCCCAGAAAATATTTGTGTTACACATGAAGTTTCACAATCTCACTTTGTCCACCAGGCAAGGAAAGACCTCAAGAAATAAATACTGAAATCTTTAACATAATAGGATCACAGATTTCAGTACTGACTTCTGTCTCACTGGCTCTGCACAGTTGTAGGCATAAAACCTGGAAAAAAATCTTGACCTGCACCTACTATACTAGGATAAGTTAAGAGCCAAAACACATAGAAGCAGACTCACTAAAAAGTTAGTTTAATAATAAAAATATTAGCTAGAAAAATATAAATGGAAAGCCAAGACTGATCCTTTCATATTAATTAAAACTCAAGAAGATTAAGAGGAATTTCCTAGTCACACAAGACGCGTAAGATTATCACTGTCTTCACAGCACATATGCGATACTATCCCATGGCATATCATGAATTGAGCTCTGACTTCAGTGAAATGGCGCCCTCTAGAGACCAAGCGGGCCTGTCATGGCCCAGTGGAAATGGAGGATATAGCATTCATCACCCATCCTCAGATTCCTGTCCTCTTCCTCTTCCTCGCGACGGCTTCTCTGCCTTGAAGCGACCTGAGAGAACTGCTGCCGCAAGTCCAGGCGATCCTGCTCCATTGTCAGCAGCTGTGTCCGCAGGTCATCTATCTAAATAACGAGTGAAACGTGCAAACACTTCAGGAAAAAAAAAAGTGAAAGACTTCATTGGAGCCCTGCACATACTGAAGCTTCAAAAAAACTCTGAAGAGGCAGATGCATCCTTTTATTATTTTATTGCAGATCTAAGCATGGCTATAGATAGATAAAGTAATCATCATTCTAAAGTAATTTAGCCTCATTGGAGTGTTACATACACACCCAGGAGACAGTGAGCTCTCAGTTTTGCAGCTATAGGTCTGGATGCCTGTTTGAAAAGTGCAATATTTCCACTAACACATTCTGACTGCAAGTTCTCTACCATAGGAAGTTCATAATGAGTATATTAGGGTTATGCATTTACTCATGCATTTACACAAAAAAAGCACCTGTTGAAGAAGGGTGTCCCGACTTCCTTCAGACTGTTCCAGTTGTCTTCGGGTTCGCTCCAACTCTTGCTCGATCTTTATTAAAAATCATAAAATGCTTCAGCATGCACTGCAGACATTACAATAATGCAAATATAAAGATAAATTATATTTTAAAACTGCAGACACACTTACCATCTAAACAACTAATTGCATAAAAAGGATCACATCCTAGCAAAATATATCAGGATAAATACTCAAAGTTGAACCCCATTTACCAAAACCATACTGAAAACCCAGGAAGATATTCCGTTACCTGTTCCCAAAATTTTGAAGATTTTGAAGAATTTGGTTGAAAACATCAAATGAATGATTTGTAGCTGTACAATCAGGATCATGACATTGAACCAGAGGGCACAAATGGAAACTAGGTGGAAGTTTTTTACACTTTTCCAGTTGTGCTATGGCTGAAGGCTGAAGGCCTGTCATCAAACTTCCATGTAACTAAGACACTCCTCAAAGATGTGCTGCTGTTACCAAGTTCCTCCTCTGTACAAAATCTTTTTCTATTCAAATTCTTCGGTGGTAGGCATGTAGAAGATATCAGTCTTTGTAAATCCTAAATTTCGTAAATGCACAGATCTTTAAAAACAGTTTTCTTCCACCAATAACCGAAAGTATTGTTAAGAACAAAACCTGTGTAAAATGCACATTCTAAGATATTTTGGGAAGTATTTAGAACATTTCTAAATACATTTCATTAAACAGAACAAAGTAGGTTCAGGCTGAACCCCCAAAAAATCCTGGCAAAAAGGTAACAGTGGAAAACACACACCGGTCACACAGTTTAAATCTTCAACACTTACTTTTACATTTATGCAGGATTAGATACCAAGCAACCAACCAACATAATAAACTAAACTAAATTATAATATTTTGCATTCTTATATTTTTGGATATAATAAACACCAATACTGTAATACAATAACTTAAAAATGTTTAATACTCTGCCTTATTGTGATTATAATTTTTTCATAGCTGTACATAAAAGATGATGCCAACTGCAAATCCAAGACAAAACGGTGTCAGAAGACAACCCCTACGGTGGAAATTAACGAATAGATCCCTGCCTCTCTTCCTGAATGACACCTCACCATAATCCCCACTGCAAAGTCTTCTGATTTCTATCACAAACAGCACAGGCTGCAGGTGAAGCTTATCAGACAGATGAGGTGAACATTCACACACTCCAGAGGGTAGAAGCGCTTGAAAACTATCAGACCCCTCGCTGTGAGTCATTCACAGCTCAGCAGCAGCTAATGGAGCCTGCCTAGGGGGTTACCACACACACACACACCTCTCTTTGAACGCACAGAGAGGTCACATCCAGGGGGAAAAAAAACACAGCCTGTTAGCATTACCTTGTTTTTCTCACACTCAGATCTCAGCAGTTTGCTCTTGGTGACGTCCTCAGTGCCAGTGGCTTTTTCTTCACGTTTCCTCAAAGCCTGCAACATAAGTGACAAGTTTCACCATCCTGCACCGCTGAGAATTTCTGTAATGATGGTGAAACACCACTCACGACTGCTGTCTCCAAGTGCTGGCCAGGGGTCCTACTAAACATCATGGTGCCCTAAGTTAGCAGTTTTCCAATGTCAAAACTGATGTCTGCAAAGTATCAAATCCACACAATGCACTGTACGAAACACAGCATGAGGGGAAAACTAAGCATGCAACCTGTGACAGACTGGCGTCCTAGGGTGAAGTGGCATTTCTTAGCCTATACCTAGAGCGCTATACCAGTGCCATTACTATTGGCCCTGCCAGGCACCCTGTGTCTCGGGGACACACACCAGGCTGTGGTGACCCTTAACAGTATGTAATAGATCTGTAAAACTATTTTAGCTACACCATCTTTATAGACTCTACATCAAGACGGCCCAGGTTATAATACAGGAACTATGTAACAAAAAAACAAATAACTGATGTGCTTGGTTTTTAATAAATCGATCTCTCCTGTTTAGTTTAATGCTCACAGAAACATTTGTGCTTCTTTCTTCTTAGTAGTGCAAACTTAAAAGCACAGTTACATACAGTGGCTACCACAGTCAGATGTGTCATAAGATCCTTCAAAGACACTTCTGGAAATGAATAAGTCATTCACCAATGTAAGCTTTAAAATATAGAATGGTAATCTTTTTAGTTTTAAGAGCTTTTTGGAACATTATCTTATAGAGTACTGCAAACTTTTCCATTTATGCTTTATTAACTAATATTGACAGAAAAGTACTGCTGTGTGTGACAGCAGGTATGTTGCAGGCCAGTAGTAGACATGCATGAGGAAAATAAGCAGATTTTTTTAAAAATGTCAAAATGTCTTTTAATATATGATTTTAATTTTCTTAATTGTAAACAAGTGTGGCTAGTTGAAAAACGAAGGGATTAGGAAAATAATAAGGCAGGAAATGTACTTCATGTTAAGTGTTTTTCACAAAGAGAATCGTACATTTCTGCTACAGATTTAATATTTTAAAAAGCTTCCTGCTACTGAAGAACACTTTTGATTTCAATTGATTCAATTGCATGTAACAAAGAAATGCTCACACAACTCCACATCCTGTATCTTCTCTTCCGTGTACTAAATATAAGTAATGCCGAAAATGAGAAAAAATGAATGACTGAGATTAAATTATTTCATAAGGATGAAGTATGTAATCAAACAGTAATGAATAAAGCTAAAACATAGCTTTTTATATTATTCAGAAGATCATTAACACCAGGTGCACATCGTGTCTTCATTAGGAAAAAGTGAGACTCCAATAATAAACACAGAAACAAGTCATTCAGGAGCTTTTCACAGAAAGCATCGAGAGATTCAGCGTTTTAAGATTAAACACTGCCCTCTGGTGCTCTGCCACTGCATTAGTGAACTGAAACAAATACGTTCATGTTGCCATCGAAAGAACATCAACATCCTAGTACTTTCCTAAAGTGATAGTTACAGTTCCACATACTGTAAAAGAAAGCATATTATACATGTATATAACTTTTCATGGTACGAGACACGCAGGATCTGCACCTGTGACTGGAAGGTTGCTGGTTCAAATCCTGCAGCTGGCAGAGGAATCCTACTCCGCTGGGCCCCTGAGCAAGGCCCTTAACCCCAACTGCCAAAGGCTCACCCTGCGCTCTGACCCCCAGCTTCTCTCCCTGTCTGTGTTTTATGGAGAGCAGCTGGGTATGCAAAAAGATAAATTCTTAATGCAAGAAATTGTATAGGGCTAATAAAGTGATGTTACGTAGGTCATTTTACCCATCCTTATATACTGTAGATAAATCCAGAAAAACAAAATACATGAGTATTACATTAAAGCACTAAATTTCACATTTTGAAGTTTCTTATTTATTTAAAATAATTCCATGGAAAACGAAACTTGACAGCTTCTTTTATCTAAAAAAATTACTTTGATCCAATTCAGTTTGAAATTGTATTTCCCACAGAAATGCTCTTTCATTTAGACCTATATTTGCTTTTCAATGAATTATCAAACATTAATGTGATTGTGTTTAACATACTTCTATCTTTATTTGATTAGAAGATAAATATTTAGCGCACTTGCCTAGTCTGGGAAATCAGAATGTTATAATTGAAATGAAGAATAAGAATATGTTCTGACTTAACCCAGAAATTGATCTTTATTTTTTCTCTCTCAAGAGCCTTTCTTTGTTTGAGTATATTGAGCATTATTTTTCACGACAATATTATTCTGTAGGTAATGCTGACGTCACAGTACACAACTTCATTTACATAATCGTAAGAAAATCCCAGCGAGCTGTAGAGAGTCGCAGCTTGCCCGTTATCGGCAGTTGTGTAGTCCGACACCCCCAGCAACTCGGTCATAGCGCTCTTCACAGCCCCTACGACTCGCCACGACAAAATCAAACTGGTTTAATTTTCTCGTAGTGAGTTGCAAGTAGGGGTGAGCAGTGAGCCAGATGTGTACTTGTGAGATAATGTGCCCATTATATTACACATTATAGCGCAATACTAACTTGTTTACAATATTTGTTTTAAAGGTTTTATTTCTGTACATTTGTCGACTAGAAGTCGTGTCAAGTCATGTAGTGTGCTGCCGGCTTAAGCTGTGGAGACAAACACTCCACTAAAAGACAAGGTAGCTCCATTTAAGAGCCTTCTCATTATAAAAAAACACTCAGCCTCAAGTGAAATCAATTACAATTAAAATGACAGTGCCTGCATAGAAAACCAATTCATTTAGCATATAAGCAATAACATTAGGAAAATAAGGCTTTTCTTTGCCACAGGGAAGAAAAATATTTTATTTACACAAGGCCTGAATTCAGTCTTGTTCTCTTTATCTTCTTCGAAATGTACAGTAGTTCACATAGACTTGTGCTTTAATTGAAGAAATCCTTAGGGCGGATTATGATATCCTGCAGAGGCCCCATGCAGAGTCACTGAGCGAGTGCAGGAGGGAGTGGCATGCACCAAGACAGCACATGTACACAAAAGAAAGCACCCTACAAAACGTGCTGAAAGGAGTTTGTGCTTAAACAATGGCTGCACCGTGGAAACTTTTACAGTTAGTCACCAGCCACTCACACGCCCCCCTATTCAGCAGTGCCATTGGCACTACACCAGCAGTGTGTCTCGGGGACTGCCACAGCATGGAGCTCAGGTGAGCTTTTCTCATCCTTGTCAGACACACCAAACAGGCTAGCTCAGACTGCAGACTGCAAAAACAGTATTTCATGCGCAAATATTCACAAGAGCGTGAAATTGAGATGGACCACTCGGCCCCTCAAGCTCGTTTGGTCCGCAGTAGCTCTTCAGTCCTCGGATTTCAACCCTCTGTTTCTTCAAGCCACTACCCTGGATTCACACAAAAACAACATGGCTGCATAGCTCTCATCACTTTTTGTAGTTACTGGTGTGGTAGCGCCCTGGACTAAATGCAATTTGTGAGGTCATAGCTTTACAAATAATGCTTTGTCACAAGTTTAAAATGATAATCAGAATTTAATAATAATAATAATAATAATAATAATAATAATAATAATAATAATAATAATAATAATAATTGCTTATACTTATATCGAGTAATGGGGACTCCCCTCCACCAATGCGCAGCTCCACCTGGATGATGTGACGGCAGCCATAGTGCACCAGTCTGCTCCCCACACACCAGCTCTCAGTGGGGAGGAGAGCAGAGTGATGAAGCCAGTTCATAGATGAGGATTATTAGGAGGCCATGATTGGTAAGGGCCAATAGGAAATTTGGCCAGAACGCCAGGGTTACACCCCTACGTGTAACATGCTTGCCTTAGCATTTTGACCTGTGATCAAAATCTAGCATATAGTATTTAACTTCCAGCCATCCATTTTTTATCCAATACCGGGCCACAGGTGAGCCAAAGCCTATCAAAGCAAGCAATGGATGGAGGGCAGGATACACCTTGGAGAAGATGCCAGTCCCTCGCAGGGCACACACCGACACGAACAGGTACACCCTCACAGCAGGGCCAATGAAACCATCCACTACCACAAGAACACAAAGAGCACATACAACACCACACAGACAGAACCCCAAGACCTGAGCCCAGGACCCCAGCACTGCTGACCACTGAGCTTAGCCATGAGGAAATCAGATGCTATTTGTTTATATATTAGAAGTTTGGATGTTAACCCATTCCAGACTGCAATAAAGTAGTCTTCCTCCTGGGTAAAGTTCCTTTTTAGACTGTATAGCAATCTAATTAGATTAGCAATCTTTTAGATTGTATAGCAATCAAATAGCTGTCAACAGTGCTATTTACACCCTGATGATCTGTTAGGAGCTACAGTGTGGCATCTCTTATGCTGAAGACCTGCCCATATGGATGATTTCTCAAAATCAGTAAATTGCAGAGAGGTATCTTAAAATAATAAAAGGTTACGGGTGCTGTGGAAGACGGCTCTGTGCTTTACCTCCTGCAGCTGCAGGGACACACTGCCACGCTGCTCCGGGCGCCTCTCCGCCTGCTGCCGCCCGGCGCGCATCTCCTTCTCGATCTCCTGCAGCCGCCGCTCCACGCGCTCCGACACCTTCGGGTGCCGGCAGGAGACGGGACAGTGAAGGCGCCCGCGCTCTCCTCAGGCACAAGGCCAGTGGAGCCCACGGCAGGAAAGGTAACTGCATGCACGCTGCAGCCTACCCCTACTACACTCCTCCAGTCCAGTCCCCAACGGAGGCCACAACAAGACTCCCCGACATTATCTCAACAACCTTGCGTGCAGTGGAACAGCTGGGTTGTTTCAATATTCTGTTTTTAAACTTTATGGACCATGTTTTATTCCATAAAACAGACATGGGTGCACTAATCTTATCAGGAGCATTCATAAGCACCTATCGCAATATTACAGTTGTCTAATAATAGTGGGGTTTTCTTGAAAAAATGTATGTTGAGGCATACGGCTGTGGAGTCCAACACGCTCATTCTGATTTTAGAAAAGCTAAACATGCTAAAAGCATGAGGTTTCCGAGAATAAAAATATTTATTTCTAGAACAATTTACAATACCATATTTTGTGAATTACTTTAAAATGATTATAACATTTGAATTAAGAAAAAGTGTCATTATAAATACTGACTTTAAAGAACCATTTTCCTGTCAAAAATCATAGGACTACCAAATTACCTCTCAAGAAATATTCTGTCAATACTGAAGCACTGTTTCAGAAAATAGCCACTTACCGTTTCTTCTCTCTGTGATATTTTAACATGGTCTGCTAAACTTTCCAAAGTTTTCTTAGTTTCAAGTTCAGACCTATGTAAGACATTATTCCCCATCAGTGACAATGCTTGTGTTACAATAAGTCAGCGCAGCACTGCAAAGAGCTGAATTGTAATGTGAATTTTAGCCATGCATGCCATATCACAACAGTCCCTTGACTGTTAAAGAAAGCAAGCTTGGCAACTATAATCGAACAACAGAATTAAGTGGTCTGAGAAATGTGCAGGTCTCTCAACAATGAAATTATTTCATTCATCTTCTATACAGATTAATAAGGACCCTTTTTAAAATATGAAAAGTATGTGCAAGGGAAAATGTAGGTACTGAAAATATTTTCAAAATTCCTACCATTTACAATAGCTGAGTGCTTCATTGCAGAGACAGGCTCAAATAAAAAAATCAATAAACTGATTTCATAAACTTGCATGCTGTCATTTATTAATGCCAAAAACTGCTGTTTATTTTCTTTGTTTATACTCCCTCAGATATAAACTAGGCTGCTGTTACTCAAGTTGGCTCTTAGGGGACAGTTCCATTTTTTTTTATTCCAATTCCACTTTTCCTGTTGAAGTAGAAATAGGATTTTATTTGTAGAGAGAATTACAGTTGTCCATAACACTAGAATGTAGACCAGCGTTAGTAATAGCTAAATGAGTAAAGTGTCTCTGACTGTATACATTATATACAAACTGGGACAACACCCTAAGCACAAGGTTTTCCATCACACAGAAGACACCATGGCAGGAAGGAACACACCCAACCCCAGCGGCATTCTCTGAACACTGCATTGATAATTGTGCAGCACCAGTCTCCGCTGATTAATGAGACAGCTAATCTTCAAATCAGCAACGCAGGGTGGTAGTTTTTTTTGCAGGATGAGCAACTTTGGGGAGCTGTTTGACTGTAACAAATCTACTGGTCTCTACTGTCATCAAACTGCATTTTCCAGAAGACTGTGCACCTGCTTCAGCACCTAGCATTGGGTCATTTTTCTTCTTTCTCCTTGTAATAATTATCAGGAAATTACAACCTTCTGTATAAAAACACTTGCTAGTTTTCACAGACAATTACTAAAAGTATTGAAATAGGAACATAAATATATTGAAGCTGTGTGTAATACTAGGAAAAGCCCCATCACTCTTTGTAAGAATTACAGAAACTAGCTGTGAAACTAGTAGACATACTAAACATTATGATTTAGCATATAAGATTTGTTTTTAAATAATTTCACTGTACTAGTTGCCATTTCTCCCAGAACCTCAGCATTGCCTTGTTCTCCTGAAGAACACATATTGAATGTCAAACAAGAGCCAAACAAGGTTTCTAAAGGAAACACATAAGGACTGACAGAAACTTCTTCATGCCCACATGAAGTGTGCTACAAGTCTGAAGATGTTTCTTTATGAACTAAGAAAGGATGCTTTTTAATCAATGAGGTTCTGAGGAGATACACATGGATCTCATTGAAAGTACTCCAAGATGAGAGGGTCTTTTAGGGTCATCCATCTGGAAGCTGAGGTGGGCAAATATATACACTGACTGGTTTCACACATTTTTGTGTTCCACTGAAAATATTACTGCAGACAAAGAAAATAATGGAAATTTTAAACAAAGCATCTAGTAGCAAAATTATACTGTTTAAATGCTTTGTTATTCACATTGAATTATTTTATTTGAGGAAAATAAGGACTCGTACCTGTTACGCCTGACAATTTCTCTTTCAATATCATCTCCGAGTCGCAGCTGCTCGCTCCTGAGATCCCTGAGCGACTGGTGCATGGTGTGTATCTGTAAAGACCAGCCTCAGCTTAGATTTACTATCTTCCCAAAGGCATCAATGAAATCAACTACAATAGCATAGCAGAACACTGTATAAGAACTTTTCTCTTACAAGAGACAACGGACAAGAGTACTGGGATTTGCATGGAGTGCTCCCGCCAGCGCTTACAAATAATTATGAATAATTACAGTAATGGTCAATGAACCTGGTACAGATCTTCATTTTTTTTTTTTAGTTTCAGTCAATGCAATATTTTACTTAATTCAATCTCTACTTTCATGTTACATTAACGATGCCTAATACAGAAGCATTAGACAAATCTGTTTTAAAAGCCTGTTTACTGCCCCATTCACCCTTAAGTATGATTCTGTGATCCTGTCACACTGTTCTGTATTGCGTACATCTGTACTAAATTACCTTACAGTATATGAATACCATAATTCATCGTCAGAGCCGGGACACTGTGAACCACCTACGGCTCCTCAGCTATGATCAAGTGCTTCTTTTGTTTTTATGTGGTACTTCCGTTTTAAAAATGTGGGGAAAAAAAAAGACTCCAGTTTCTGACAAGTTCCAGATCTACATCTGGCGCTGGGGTTAAATCTGCCCCCACCAGACCACTCCTCCTTCGTCTGCCAACACGAATGCAGCTACCCCTCAGTCATGGGGCTCAGAGGGCCAGGCTGCCACGCAGTGAGCCAAGCAGGGAAGGCCAAAGACCGCAACTGCTTATACTGCAGAAATCGCCGCTATAATTCTTCTGACGTACTCGTGTTAAAAGCTTTGGAAGCCACATTAGCATGTGTGGGGCTCAATCTGTGACTTCTGTGACAGCCAGGAAGACAATCCACTAAAGTCACCGTCATCTTCTTTATAAAATGCACACGTGCTCATAACAGGGAGCTGCTTTAACACGGAAATTGGAGGTCGTCTGTCACTACTGGATTTTATCTATGCCCTAATAAAGCCGTGTTAAAAGTTCAAAAACATTGGCATGTGAAAATTCTGCAACTTCTGGATACTTTGGTTCACATGTGTGCAGAAACATCCGTTTTTCATCCATTTATGTCCAGGGGTGCGTTAACCCCCCTGCTGTTGCATCTTGTGCACAATTAACTAAATATAAAAAAATGATTCCGTTTACTGTAGCACTTCACTATAGCTTTTCAGTACCAAATAAACCAATTAACCAATAAAAAATTAACCAAATTATTTACCCCAAATGGAATTTTTATCAAATATGGTGTAATTATAAATGAAATGTGTAAGGGAAGGGAACAGCTCTTTAGCAGTAACGTTGAGACGTGCGAGTTCTGCCCTCACATTCCCAGACGGATCAGTCTCATCCATGAATCTCACAGTTGCAGACCTTGACCTCCTCCTTTCAGCCCCTCCAGACATCCCATAATCCCGCAGGGGTGAGGTAGGACAGTAATGGTGACCTTCTACACAAAAAACACAACAGTTGTCCACAGGTTATTTTTATTTGCTCTCAACTGGGAGCAACTTCATTTCAAGCATCATCTGTATGTTTGCTCTTCACTTCACCTGAAGAAACAAACCCAAGTTCTGTTAAACCACTTCCTCATAAAGAAACATGATTCTGATTGCCTTGGAGTTACAGCGTTCAAGTCTTAAGTATTTCTGCATAGACGGCTGGGAGATCTTATTACACAAAGCAACCACACTTAAGGCCTCAGCCCACAACCTAGTACTCATCTGAAATATTAATTGACAGAAAAATCAATAAGAATAGACTAGCAGGTAAATAAATTACCCCATATATCCGGATCTTAAAAAAAGAGTGAGAAATCTGGAACGCTCAGTTAATGAGACTGGAACATTACGCGACATCTTACCAGAGGCTGAGCCACCGTCTAAGTCACTTGTATGTAGAGTGGAAAGGGAGGCACTCCTGGCTCCCGAGTTTCTTCGCAGGCGCTGGCTTCTCAGTTGATTAATAGACTCTTCCAAATTTTCTCTGAGCTGCATGTACAAAGATTATTTGCACGGAACAGAACATGAAGAAAGAGATTATTTTTGTCCTGACTTAACACTCATCTAGTCTACCTTTTTAACCTGTACCTGACCAGTAAAAGCCGTGATGTTAAAATAAAGCATCATGGCAGAGATCCACACAGATGAGGAAACTTTGATATAATGAAGTTGAGCAAAATTTCCCCAATATAAAGCACACCCCTTAAACGGGTAGCGAAGGACGTACCCCAACTCTAACAAATCCAGTACTAAAACAGAATACAGATGACAGAATACTTGTTCATTAGAAATCTGGGATCCTATCTAGCTTTGGTCTTAATTTTCTCCAGGTCTCCAACTCTGGTACGAGTGAGCTCCTGCTGAGCTGGATTATTGGTAACAATACTGAACTGTGTCAAGTTAAATTATTCAGTTAAATTGCATTGAATTTCCAGATCATTAGGAATGAAAATAAGAATTATTTGATTGTTATAACTGACCACCTGCCTAGCTCACCACTAACCTGTAACTTGAAAGCCTAACTGGACTGAGAGTCTCCAGGATCAGAGTTTGAGCACCCTAACGCAGACGAAGATGGATCAAGGAGCCCTTGTTGATCACAGAACGGACACCTCTGAAGTGCACATGCAGAATTCGTGTTCGTAGCTCAGTAACATTGCCAACAGTTTTGAAAAAGTGATCAGACAGAAGACTCACTGTTGCCATAGCCTCAGCTTGGTCCTCTGTGTGCTCTCTGTATTGTCCCAACATCCGATCAACATTATGAAGATTTCGACTTGTATCCTTGAAAAGCAAGTTTAAATTAAAAATGCATTTGTACAAAAAAATATGTTTACTGCATGCAGTGTAATAATTCCTCAGCCTCAGATTTGCTTTTGTGAGGTTTCCATCATATCCATGGTGGAGGAAGAGATACAATCTCCATAAAGGATTTGTATGTGCCAGAGACCACCCTGGTACTAGAATAGCAGTCCCAACTCCCAGTGCCTGTGCGCTGTAATAAGGGTGCAGTACAAAGCAGAGCATTGTTGAGCACTCACACCCCAAAGGCAGTGGGTTCAAATCTCCGGAGAATCACTGCCGTTGTATCCACAAGAAAGATATTTCAGTCAAACTGCTCCGATGATATACCCAGCTGTATGAATGGGTGCAAATGTAAGACACGTTGGCCAAATAAATTACAAAAATTAAAGTATTCCGCATTTCACTAAAGAGCACAGGGTATCATTTATTACACAATAAACAGTGAACACCGATGTGTCGCGAGCTCTGGATTCACGTACTGTACACCCACACCATTCTTGGTGGCCCTGCTTCATGTGCATTACCTGCAGAGTGGAGGCCAAGGTGTCAATTTTCTCAGAAATGTCTGCATCTCCCTGGACTCGGTTTCTTCTCTGGCTGTTTGAACGTGTGGCCCTCGCACGCGCCTGGCGGTTAGCGGAGCTCCTGAGGTACGTGTCTGAGTCACTGGAAGACTGCGCCATGCCTGGTATGGCTCTGGCAGAAAGACAGTTTAAGACAGGGGGTTAAAGAGGAGCAGGTGGTAAGCTGCCACTTTGCTCTTCCCCTTTTTCATAAAGTTAAAAACAAGAAGCAGTATGAAGTGGTAATCAGGGCCCTGGACTGTGCACCGGAGGGTTGCGGGTTCAGATCCCAGGAGGGGCACACCTGTTGTATCCCTGAGTGGGGTCCTCCACTGACATCACTGCAGCAGACGGCCTGCTGCCCAAACGGGTGTCCGTCTCCACGACTTCATTGCGAACGAGAATATGCTCTCAACTGACCTACCTGGTAACATAAAAGAATAAAAGAGTCCGTTTCGAGGTCTGTGTCCCATTAGGTTAAACGAATTAATTAAAAATTCAGACCTGGACTCACAGATATTACTCAAATACAAAGGGCAGCCTCCCGGATGATCGGATAAGAGACAGAATATCACAAAACAAGCCACAAAATAAGTAACTAACGGCACGAACGGCTGACAGCGGCCAAGAAACCTTTTGTAGCCAACCATACTCATCACACGGACAAATATGTTTTAAAGCACGATGCTCGAATACCAATCGATTTTAAACATCCTATCATTTCTTACCTGCCTGCATCAAAATCACGGTAAGTCACTCACCATCTCGTCAGTTAGAGGCACTTCCCCTTACTCTGCTGTTATGGCAACTTAAACTGACCGCCCTGAAACAGGAAGCCATCCAAGGACCCACACTGCCGAACAGGGCGCCGGGAGATGTAGTTTACATTTGCAGGACATTTACTTGGAGAAAGTACATGAATGAGCTTCAAAGAACTAGATTTCCCACAAGGCCTTTAGAAAGTCTGTTGGTATCCTTTTTTTATGGGCGTTGACTACTAAAGGCGACTTGAAATATGCCAGATTCAATAATTGCGCCACAATACCCGCTGTTTTCTTATGTGTAACTCAGTGTTGAGTAATTGTCAATAGAATGGGACGTAATGAAAGTAGTATACTGGCTAGGTAAAATATTTTAAAACATCTGTTTATAGTTGTTTTGTGTGAACACGATGTGACAGCGCTTTGGGATTATTGGGAAGTACTGTTCAATTAAAAGGCTCAGGTGCTTGATGTGGATGATTTTAGATATTCAATAAATGATTGACATTACTCTGAGGAACTGATCATAACTGACCATTAAATGATTTCATTTAGTTACAGGTTTCACTACCTGTGAAGGGCTTTGAGTGTAGTGTCCAGAAAAACTAAATGTAAGGAATTATTAGCAGTAGCCATCATCTCCTGGGACATCATGAGCTACTCTCTCCCAGGTAGAAATTATTTTCACTGGTATTTATGGGAATGAACCGGTTTTAAATTGGGGCTGACTAAATGACGAAATCGCATCAGGGCAGAATGTGTCCTCTGGGTCCTGGCATGACGAGGGCTTCCTTCAGCGTTCAGACTCTGACTGGTGTGTTTTGGATGCCAGTTTTGAGTTCTTCTGCTGAACCATTTGAGCTGGGGAAAGCTGTGGATGCTAAGGACGTGTGAAGGTGTAACTGCTGTCGTACGCGCTCCTGTCGAAACTCTGGTGACTGTGTTAGA